CAGGTAATTTTTGTCTTTTTAGTAGAGACAGGGTTTCACCATGTTGGCCAGGATGGTCACAATCTCCTGACCTCGTGATCTGTCTGCCTTGGCCTCCCAAAGTGCTGGGATTACAGGCCATGAGCCACTGTGCCTAGCCTGTTTTTTTTGTTTTGTTTTTTTTTTTTTTGCTTTTTTAAAAACAATTATGCAAGGTTTTCTTGCATTGGTCGGCTCTAGGTGTCTGTCCATTAGATCTAATCAGAATATGATAAGTCTCTACAATCTGAAGATGTGTAGTTATTTATTTGACTATTTCCTCCTCTTTGTTGCCTTTTATTCTCCTTTAGAACTTCTAATAAATGAAAGTTGGATGCCTAGGATATACCTTCTAGGTCTCAAATTTTCCATAATTTTTCACCTTTCTGTGTGCTCTCCACTCTTGTAAACATATTTGACTTTCCTTTCCACAGCCCAGTCTTCATTCATTCCCATTTTACCATTCAGTGTATACCCTAGATCTTAAAATGAGCCAGTCACATTAACTTCAAACAGTTTTTTTCTTGCTTTTTGCCTTTTTTTCCCCCAGGAGTCTGGTTTTCTCTTATTGCTACTATGTTCTTTCAAATTTTTTGAGAATGATGCTATTTAGAATAATCACAATTACGGTTATGATTATTTTCCCTGAATTATTTCTGTCCCCTAAGGTTCACGTGTAGAGTATGCATAGCTGAGCCTGCCTTCTCTTTCATGCCTCTAGCTTTCTGCAAACACCTAGTGATGTCTGCCTGCTAGGTCCTGTCTGTATAGGAATAAGGTTGAGGTGTGTGTAGTGACTGGTCAGTGTGAATCACCTCTGCCCTGTGTAGCCCAACAGGCTTCTTACTTGACCACGAGAGTTTACTGTATTCCCTTGGAACTGGCAAGGTGCGTGGACAGGTGGGCCACCTTGGAGGTGGGCATGCAGCCGATGGGCAAATAGAATCCCCACATTTGCTGGTGCTGGCAGGCTTGACCCTGGGGACAGGTGCTTTTGTGCATTTCACTCTTGGGAGGAATTGTGCTACCTTTGGACCTGCTGACCCTGCTTCTCATGAATGACCAAAGTCTTTAACTCTGCTCTGCCCTGGTTTTTTCTTGGACCCTGAGTTTTTCACTCCAGAAGCAGGTTCCCGGCTTTCTTGTGTGCCATAGGCCTGTTTGGAAGTCTGGTGAAGCCTGTGCTACCCATCTCAGGACAAACTAAAAATACCTGATGAAGAAGTTCAATTATATCCACATGCAGTTAGCAAATGGTAAAAAGCCTATTTTGATATAGTAATGTGTTTTCTTTAGGAAAACATTACATACAAAGTCTAGTAGTGGGATGACCATAATTTGAAGTAATGGTGAAAATAAGCAATAGATTGAGATATCTGCAAGAGCTGTAATGTGATATGAAAATACCTGTGATTTTTGTTGGTGACAAAGTCATAGTTATGGCTAAAGTATTGTGTTTACTGCCTACATGCCTAATTGAAGGCAGTGTTGAATTTCAGTTAGAGATACGTTAAAGAAAATGCTCACTTTCTCCATCCAAAGTCCCACACCTCAGGCACTGTGGGGACTGTCCCCAGGCAGAAGGCAATCCCTCTGTGGACAGCTTTCCTCTGGCTCTGGTCTGAGCTACACTAGCCTTAAAGCAGCAGTTTGCAGGGGCTTGGGGCAACACACACCCACCTGGCACTGTGGAAGTGCAGCTCTTTGGCCAAGTGCCCTCCTGCCTGGACACCTGGCCATGCCCCTGGTTCGTTCCACCTTCTCGGGAGGATGTGGGCATCCTTCTGTTGGTTCCCATCACAGTTTCTTCTCCTATCCAGAGACTGGACCCAGGACCCCCTCACCCTTTCTGGCTTGCTTAGTGTTTTGATTCCCAACGCAGTAATGGTTTCAGTATTTGTAAAGGGTCTTTCCTGCCATGTCAGTAAGACCCTTGGTGTCTCCTCCTGAGATGTGTGTTAGTTTTATCTGGCTCAGGTGTTCACACTGCCATCTGGAGCTGACTTGCCAATGGCACCCAGGGCCTTTTTGGTCTGCACTGTTAACTCACTCTTCGGAAGCCCTGCACGAGGTTCTTGAGTTTGCAGCTGTGATTGCTTTTAAAGGTGTAAGCAATGCCACATGTGTTTACTAGGAGGAAGCCTTGGTGCCCCCAGAAGTGTGATGGTGGTCCCCCAACGTTAGGCACGGAGGTCCTCCTGTCCTTCCTGTTGAAAGTGAGTTGGTGGGCCATGCCTCTATTGATAAACTTTCTTCCCCCCCCCCCCTTTGTCCTCGTTACTTCTCTTTACAGAAGGATCTTCCAAATGTAGTTCTTAAAGATTCCCCCGGTGAATGTAGCATACCTTTCTATTTTCAGAATTTCAAATAATATGCACCTGATTGGGCTCACAGTGCGTGTCAAGGGCAGGCTCTCTCTCCTGATTGAGGTCCCTTTGGGGGCCAGGGGTGAGCACATGTGATACGCACGCAGAAGCCCCCCGAGCCCTCTGACTGGGGAGCCCTGTGCCAGGTGAGGGATGAAGGCCAACGACCTTGGTGGAGGTCAGGCTCTGCCAGCCAGGCAGGGTGGGTTCCTGAGGAACTGCTGCCTTAGAGCTTTTCTAGAGAATGTCTAGGGGTGGAGAGCAGGAAAGAGTGGGGTGCTTATAGGAAATGGGGTTTTGAAGCGGATTGCATGAGCAGAGAGAATGGCTAGTCCCTCCCAGGGCAGATCCAGAGCTGCTTAGTTGCTTGGCTGGTGTGAGGCTGGGGCCACTCCTTTAGGTGAGAGGAGTCGGATGGGGCATTCTTGTCTCTCCTGGATGTTTTCGGGGGCAGGTGGAGGGTGATGAGCCAGAGGTGAAGAACTGCTTCGTGGATGGGCTCTCCCCTGGCCAGGTGCTGGGCACCACAGAGCCACGTCAGGCAGACAGCATGAAGCTTGGGGGCTGGTCCTGACTCTGCCCTTGACTTTCTGGTTGATGTGAGACCAGTCGCCATGCCTCTATAAGCCTCAGTTTCCCTAGATGCATACTGATGGGCTTGATCTATCTGACCTCCAAGAGCCCTTCAGAACCAGGCCTCTTTCCCTTCCTGCTACATCAATACTGGTGCAAGGAGGAGACAGCCTTCATGTGAACCACATGCACCGCAGGCACCAGCACTGCCCCCACCCCGCACAGGCCAGGACAGAGGTTCAGGGTCCTAGGAAGCTTAAGCCCTGATTCTTGCCCGCTGCTCTTTCCTGGGCATTTGAAATTGAATTTCAAATTCAATTCGGGCAAAACTACCTTGAGGCCGACCACACTGGTCTTGGTGCTGGGCTCTGGTCCGACCCCCTGACGAGGACACCCGTGCCCCCTGCTCTGCCTTGCGGGGTTGGGGAGCAAAAGCGGCCCAAAACAAAGACCCCTTCTTCCTAGAGGCGGAAAGGGAGGCAGTGCAGGGAGGCGTCCGTTTGTTTCCCCTGGAACGGAACGGAACGAGGGCATTAACTGTGCGCCCATGCTCTTGGGTGCAGGGCAGCTGGCTGAAGGGCGGCACACAGTAGAGGCAGGTGTGTGTGTGTGTGTGTGTGTGTGTGTGTGTGTGTGTGTGTGTGTGTGTGCAGGGCAGCTGATTGGAGGGCGGCACACAGTAGGGGCAGGTGGGTGGGTGGGTGGGGGTGTCTGTGTGTGTGTGTGTGTGTGTTTCCAGGCAGATGTGCCATTTTCAGAAGCCGCGGGACCAGCCTCCTCCGAGCCCTCCCAGCCGCTGGTCGGGCCCGGCTGGGGCGGTACCTGGGCCCGGGTTTCCCTGTCTCTCCCGGGGCCTTGGGTGCCAGGGAGGCTGGGCGCAACTCGAGGCCCCGCGTCCTTTCTCCCGCGCCAGCAGGGCCGGCTCTGCAGTGAGGCCCCTGCGCACCTAGGTGGAGCCCGACCCGCAGTTTTCGGCTGGGCCGGCCCCACCTGACCCGCCGGCGCGCCAGGCGGGGGCGCTGCAGGGCGGGGTCCCCGGGGTCCCTCGCGGCCCAGTGCGCATCGGCGGCTCCGCGGCCGGGAGGAGCGCAGACGGCGGCGGGCGCGGGCCAGAGTCCGAGGCTGCGCGGGCCCGGCCACCTGGGCTGGCAGCGACTGCGCCGCGCTCCCCCTCCCGCCGCCTCCCCCGAGGAGCCGGCGCCGAGCCGAGCGGGCGGGCGCGCGCGTCCAGGCCGGAGCAGCAGCGTCCCGCGGGCGGCGAGGCGCGCAGCGTCGCCGGCCCCACCTGTAGGCGCGGCAGCCACCGGCACCGGCACGGGCAGCGGCGGCCCAGCGCGGGCAGCCCAGGGGCGCGGCCGGCCCGGACCTCGTCCCGGCCGCGGCGGCGGAGGCGCGGGCTGCTGGGAGCGCGGAGGCCGGCACCGTCCGGGGGGGACCGGCCCGCCAGCCCCGGGCCGCGCAAGTTCGATCGCCGCGGGCTCGGCCGGGCCGCGCGGGCCCCGGCGGCGGCGATGGTGCGGCAGCCCCGCGCCCGGCGCGCAGCCCCGGCCCCGAGCCTGGCCCGCCGCGGCGGCGGTGGCGGCGGCGGCGCGGCGGCCCCCTGAGCCCCGGGCCGGAGCGAGCGCGGGCGGCGGAGGCGGCGGCGGCGGCGGAGGAGGAGGAGGAAGAAGAGGAGGAGGAGGAAGAGGAGGAGGAGGAAGAAGGCGACACCGAGCAGCGGGCGGTGGGGGGGCGACAGGCGGAGGAGGGGGCCGGGGCCGCGCCGGACCCCCCCGCGCCGCCCGGCCGTTGCGCAATCCGCGGCCCGCCGTCCGGGCCCTGCTGGCGGTGCGGCTCCGGGGGCGGCGGCGGGGCTGATTCATGGGGCCGCGGCGGCCGCCCCCCCGCGCCCGGGCCCCCGGCGCCCCGCAGCCAGCGATGGTGGCCGAGTGGTCGGAGCGGCGGCCGCCGCGGCCGGAGACTTTCTGCTAACCTCCCCGCCCCCGCCCGCCCCCTCCCCGGCGCCCCCCTCCCCCCCGCCCGCTCCCCTCCCCCCTGCCCAAAAAGACACAAATCGCCTCCCGGAGTGGCGCCTCCAGTCGCGGCGGAGCGCGGCGTTGGCGGCGGATGGAGGGCGCGAGCGGGCGGCCGCGGAGGCTGCACCCGGCGGGGCGCTGATGCGGCGCCTGGACCTCAGCTGCGCGACTTCGGGGGCGTCGGCCGAGTTGGGACTCCGCGATGCAGCTCCTGAAGGCTCTCTGGGCACTGGCAGGGGCCGCGCTCTGCTGCTTCCTCGTCCTGGTGATCCACGCGCAGTTCCTCAAAGAAGGTAATTGTCCCTGGGCGCTCGGACCGGTCCCCCGGCGCAGTCCTCCGCGCTCTGCCAGGCTCGCGGCGGCCCCGGCGCCCGACCCGGCTTCCAGCATGTTCCGCTGCCGCCGCGCTCGGCCGAGGCTCGTGGAGCGCCACTGCGGGCCCGGAGCGGCCGGCGGCGCGACCCTGACAGGAGTCCGGCCCCCCGCGGATCTCGCCGACCCGCGCCCATCGGGGCTGACCGGCAAGGCGCGGGATCCGGGCGCGCTGCGTCCTCGGTTCCTCTCGCGTCGACCCGGATCCCTGACCCAAGCCGAGGCTGCCGTTCCCATCCCCTGCCCCACACCGCTCGGTGGCAGCGGCGCCCGCCCGCACGTCGCGGGCCCTCGGTAGATGGCACCAGCGCTCCACGTTGGCCGGCCGGGCTGGGGCGGGAGCGGAGCTGGGACCCGCCAGGGTGGACACCGGACTGGGACCCGCGGGCGTCGGGGAAACCGGCCTGCGCACCCGTTTCCCAGGGCCCAAGCCGCCTTCCAGCGACCCATAGGCTCGGGAAGCAGGGGCTTGGTCACCCGGGTGCGCAGGTCCCCGCACCAAGTTCTGCCCCTGCCCTCTTGGTCTCTGCTAGACTGCAGGGCAGTCTGGGACTATGGAGGCGCCCAGGGTAACTGTTGGACCCTGGTAGCTAGAGAGGCCCTTTGGACTGGGAAGCATCTTACTGGGGGTTTGGGGGCAGGGCCACACCTCCTCTGATGGGAGGTCTGTCGGCTCCAGGCACCCCAGATGCACTCCTGGAAACTTCCTGGTTTCGGGGCCAGACTCCCTTTGCAGGGCTCCTGGTGCACAGCGGGATCAGCCTGACCTGTCATAGCAGACTGGGGGCAACTAAGTCATTGGCCTCCCCCGGGGCACCCCTGCTCATGGGTACTGGGCCACAGGCTGAGCCAGCTCCGCCTGGTGCTCCCCTTGGTCTGCTGGGAAGGCTGAGCACCGGAGGGCTCCTGTGTGGCCGGTAACGCGCTGGGTTCTCATTAGCTCTGGGCTCCTGCAAAGGAAGGGCTTGCAACATTCAGCTGCTTCCCTGACTAATTAATAAGCTCCTGGAAGCTTGGGGAAGTAGGTAGGTGCAGGAGCCTGACCCCAGACCCTGTGACCTCCACGGGCCTGGTGTCCGCTTCCCTCCCTTGCTTTTGGATGTGGGCACCAAGTACAGAGGAGGACCAGGTCTGAAGGGAGAGAAGGCTACCCCAGGACTTTGCTGCGGGCCTTGGCCTGCCAGCCCGGGCTTGCGGGGACCCTTCCCGAGGTGGGAGGCCCAACTTCTTCCTGCTGCCTTACTGACCCACTTCAGGAGTGGGTGGTTCTGGCCTAGGGCAGTGGCCCTTGGGGCCAGGGAGGCCATTGTTCCTGCTGAGGAGTCATTGGGTCCAGGCAAGCCCGCGAGGGGTGTCCTCCGCTGGTGTCCCCTGCCAGGACAGTGGGAGCCACCCCTGGTGCGTTCCAGGCACCTGGCAAAGGGGTCCCTGCTCTGCGGGGCCTGTTTGTGTTCCTGCTGCAAGTTCTCTGCCTCTCTGGCTGATCTTGAAGTTTCTGGGGGATTGGCTTGCAGAAAGGGGGTGCATGTGAAAATTTCAGTGTTTCTCTAAGTGCCCAGCTGTGTCCTGATACTCTGTGACGAAGCAAAGTTCCACGGACTTTTAAGCTGTGAGTTAGTAACAGGGGGGAGCTCCTGGCCATGTGGCTGGCCTGTGACGAGGGCTTCCTTTCTGCCTCGTCCTTCAGCACTGACCCAGTGCAGGTGCCTCCCAGGTGTCTCCTCTCCCCCTGAGGCTCCAGGTCTAAAGAACTCTGTTTTTTGGCTAAGAAGAAAGAGTTTCTGCCTCTCAGATGGGAAGGTCCAGGTGTGGAGCAGACCCAGGATTAAATACTGGTGGTGTTCGCTGAGTGGAGTACTTTTTGTGGATTTAGCCATTCACAGAGACCTCTGTGTTTACCTTGAAGCAGACACTCGTGTGTCGGTGTTGTGGAAGACGGCGCAGTCATAGATGCAGATGGGGTCAGCTGTACGCTGAGGGTACCGGTGCCTTTGGAAGAGCGATTGCAGGGTCTGAGTGTTTGTGCAGCCCTCCAGGCCTCCTGAAGTCCTGTCTCCCTGTCCCGAAGCGGTGGCCTTCACCACCCTGGGTTGAGCCCTGCTGCCTGTCTGTCTGGAAGGTCAGGACTTGGGCAGCCTCCCTGTCCTTGCTGAGATGCCTTTTTGGCCCCTTGGCGTCAGGAGCCCCAGGGGAGGCCTGGGGAACCAGCAGTGAGAGGCGCAGGGAGGGGGGTGGCGCACTCTGGTTCCTGGCTGATAGGCTCGGCCTGGGGCCACTCTCCTCCCAGCAGCCGCTGTCCAGCAGGAGGGAGGGAGCAATGAAGGCGGGTGGACAATTGTGACTTGTTGTCTGGGCCCGAGTGGGAAAGAGCTGTTTAAATTGCCATTTCCATGAATCTGTTTTTTTCAGGGGTGAAGAATGGGGGACCCAGGGAGCCGTTTTTCCACACTTCTCCTTTTGTGTGGAGATAGAGGCCACCCCATGGCTAATCCGTCCCCCTCTGGCCACTTTGTCTTCCAGTGTTTGCGGAGATGAATAGGGCTGTGAACCGAGAGAGAGGCAAATTGTGGTCCATAATTGCAGCCTCGATACGTCCGAGCTTTGTGAGAACAGGTCCTGCCCACCGCACCAGGCCTGGCTGGGCAGCCACAGGCCCGGGAAGAAAGCAGGGCTGCAGTGTGGGGTCTGGCACTGGGGTCTGGGTAGCTGCTCATCTTGCCCTGTCGTCCTTAGGACACACTGACTCTCCTCTGGGAGGGGAGAGCCATCCTTTCCTCAGGCATGTGCATGTGCTGTGTCTGCGTGGAGTGTAGCTAACGTGGGGGACGAGGGCGGGAGTCCCAGGATGCTGATGGAAGAGCCGGACACTTCCTTAGGGCGCAGACGACATGTGTCACGGAGACGTGAGAGGGAAGCCAGTGCTTTATCTCCATCATCATGTTTGGCCTCCAAATACGGAGTTAAGGAAACAGCGAGAAGTATAAAAATATTTTCCACCTCCCTCTTCCAAAGACTTTACAATATTTTTCTGGAAGTCTTGAGTCACTTGGACTCCAGCACTCCAGCACAGATGAGCAGGCTTTGGTGTGGATGCTTAATGTAAACAGAAGAATAGGAAAATACTTCAAAGAGGAAGGAGTGCAGCGAGCCTGGGCCACCCGGGGCAGGCCACAGCGCAGAGAGGTGTCTGGGCTTTGGGACCCAAAGGGACATGAGAAAGCCGGGAAATCGTTCAGCCTGATCCTTTCTGAATGGGAGGGAGAACCCAGTGCCTCTTTGCCTTAAATGTGGATTTGAGGTTCAACTCTATCTCGGTAAATCCTTTTGGTGGCAGGGGAGTGCATGCGATGGCTTGAACGTGCTGTTCAAAAGCGTCTTTTGCAGGTTAATATTGAGAACTTTGCGTCCAGCGGCCCCGACACAGCGTACCCGGGCCTGGATTCCAGACGCGCTTTCAGAACCACTGTGGCGTGCCTGTCTTTGAGCAGCTGCTGGGAGGGCAGACTGTTGATCGAGTCAATGGGATTCAACTTCCATTGATTTAGTTAGCCGGCTCTTTCGGAAATGAGGCGTGCTCCTGCAAACCCGTGTGGCCCGTAACAAGGGGCGTGCTCAACTCCGTGGAGGCAATTGACGGTGTATTAATTGTTGTGGCTCTGTGCAGTCATCATTAATTGATGTCGTCTTTGCGAGATTAGCGGCCAATGCAGAGGGTTCATCTGTCTGTTAGATGGACCAGTTTATTTTTTAGGAAATGGATAGAGAACTTCTTAGGAGACACAGCACAGTTCCCGGCCCTAAGACTCCATCAAAAATATGTGCTGAATGCATACAGCCATTCTGTCCTGGAGGCGTAGAGCCAGGGCTGTGGGTGGGCCATGATGGGTTGGGCGAGGGCTTGGTAGATGCCCTTGAGGTTTTCCAGAGCAGCAAGGCCGTTCTTGGTGAGGGCTCGAGGCTGCACCGGGCTCCATTCTGAGTGTCTAATGGTGGTGGAGGAACTCATTGCACGCGGTGTGTGTGGAAGGAGGAGGGAGTTGGGCAGCTCTGTTCTCAGTGCTCACGGCCGGCTGTGCCCGCACACCTGCACCCAGTCTTGTTGTGGGGCGGCCCCAGCCCCCAGGCTCCGAGCTTGGAGCTGGCTGCTCATTTCTCCTGAGTCTCAGACTGTGTGTGGAGGGGTGCTGGGCTTTGTCTAGGGGCCCCGGGGGCTTCCCTAGCCCACTTCCTGGGTGCATTGTTTTTATGGCCCTGATGAGGTGTGCAGGCAGACAGGGTGCAGGGGCATTGCGGTGCCGGCCCCACCTGGAAGGTGTCCCTCAGCCTACCTCTCCCTGACCCTCCAGTAGACGCTGTTTGCAAGGCCAGGTAGTTGTGAATGGCTGCTGGGAGGGGTGGAAATGAAAAGGTGTTAAAAATAACCAACTCCTTTATCATCATTTACTATCATTTCTTGTGTGACACAGAATCTAAATAAAACCCACACTCACCGTAATGGGATTCTCATCTGCTGTGCCTCTGACAACTGTAAAAGTTAGAATGTGAAAGGACTGGAAATGGAGGTGACTTCCAGACACAAGTTGGCTCATCGCAGCCTTGCTGGGCGCAGGAGTCCCAGCCTCCCAGGCCTCCCAGCAAGGGCTGAGCCAGTGCCTGCTGAGGGCCAGGCTGGCAGTGGATGGGGCCAGCTGGGGGTCACTCCCACTGCACACTCGGGAGGATTGGATTGGGGCTGATCTTGCTGCCGGCATCTGTGGAAACTCATCAGTCTCCCATGTTGCTGTCATGCTGGGCATGGTGCAAGAAAGCCGTGCAGAGAATGGTTTTAGTCCTCACTCGGTGGTCTGGAGGTTGGTGGTTTTTGCCCGTCTCTGGGCGTGCAGCACTGTAGGAAAGCGGGCACTGGTGAGGCCATGTCCCT